CCTTAACCCTGGAATTGAGCTTGGAGCTATTTCACTGGGTCAGTCTTTGGCTAGGTACTCTGCAAGCTGTTTCCTGTCTGCTAAGCTCCATTTTCTTTGTTATGCCCACAGCCTCAGTCCCCAAGTTCAGGTGGTAGGAACTAGTTTTTGTGTAGACAGAAGCCTGATTAACCAATTACCCTGAATGTTACAGGCCATTTTTTGAAGAACCGTTTCTTTTTTAGGGTACAGCGTTCTCTGCTAGACTCCTCCATCTTTCATGTCTTATATGGTTAAAGTGTTAACTAATCCACCTTGTTCATTTCACCCAGTTTAGCAGTGAGTTAACTGAGACCCAGGATATTCCTGTGGTTTATCATCTCTTGGATGTCTGAGGTTGCTCTGACTCAGCATGTCCAGGGACTTTTTACTGGATTACTGCTATCAGCTCCTCACATATTTCTACTGACCAACATTGCTTTCCTCCCAGGCCTTCTCCACAGAGTAGCCAGAGTAATCTTAGTTCCTTAATCTGATCTTGCCTGTCTCTCCCTTTTTCTTTGTTGTTCTCTCTCCCAGTCATATCAAGGACTTCCCATTTCTCTTGGAACAGACAGACTGCTCACTGTCCCTGCCTCGTGCTCTGTCCTCGTGTCCCATCCTGCTCTCTGGATACCTGTCACCTTGGCTTTCTCTTACTCATTAGCACTACCACGGGGCCATTGATTCTTTCTTGATGTTCTCCCATCTTGTTGGCACTTCCCTGGGGTAGCTCCTTTCACTCTCAGCTCAGACCATGACACCCTCCCCTTCTCTCATCTAGGCTTGTATGCTCAGGTGCTACCCCTCGTCCCACTTGCAGGTTTGCTTCTGTTGTCTGTTTAGTTCTTGAGACCTGTCTTTCCCATTAGCCATAAGTTCCAGAAGGGCAAGAGTTGTGTCTGATTTACCCAACTTTTTCCGCCAGTGATTACTCAGTGAATATTTGTTGAGTACTTGAAAAACATAAATGTCAGTGTCTACAGGGAAATTAGTGGAAGGCTGTAACTACAGCCAGTGCATTCTGACCTTCAGACAAGAGCGTTTCTCTTTTACTGGGAGCCCCAGGGCATCCCTCTGATGTCACAGGTATTGTGGAAAGTGGTCTAGGGATCCCATCATTAGGGTCCATAATGGTAGGCTTTTTTTTTTCTACCTTATAGTCTTGGCGGTGCGTCAGGGTAGGAGGATATGATAGTAAACTGCTAGTTTTCCTCTCATCCATTTTTCTTTACTTTTTGGCACCTGCTGCTGTTTACTCAGATTTTAGTGTGAACATTTGCTTTAGCCTGTGTTATACACACATGTTGAATTTAATTTATAAACAGTTGGGGGATGTCCTGCAAAGAATGCTATGAATGCCAGGCACTTAGTCAACCCTTCCAGTTCAGGAGAAAACTAATTCCTTATTTAAGATGTGAACTGATCCTACTTTGCCCTGGCCGTTTGCATAGCCTGGAGGTCTTTACATCATGGGGAGCCCCAGACAAAGGGAGAATCTGGTGAAAGCTGTGGATCCTTTCCTAGGATAATAACCTTCCTAAAGGTTGCATAACACCAATGCTATTCTGTGATGTGTATGAACTGCCGCTGTGAGCATTCTTCATATATCAGCCCTTGTGAACCTCTTAACTTACCTGTGAAGTAGCTGCTATCTTATTCCAATTTTACAGAATAGGAACAAAGCCACCAAGAAGTGCATTAACTTTCTCGTAAGTGGACAGTGGCAGAACTAGGATTCAAGTTTGGACTTACTGGCTACAGAGTCCAGCTCCTAAGCTCCATGTGTGCACCGTGCTCAGAAATTTACTTCTTGTATCAGGAAGGTATAGACCTCCAGAGCCCATACGTAGCCACAGCTGTGGACTTTTGGACTCTAGGTTAAGAAACCTTGAATTTGAAGCTTCCAGCTTCTTCTATTTTCTCCGTCATTCTGCTTTTATTTCATCACAATCTACATTAATCACAATCAGGATAGTTCTAGAAACTTCGTTCGCCACATAGACCTTTCCTGTCTTTCTCTCTTAGCCCAACTGTCTTAGTTAGTTCAGGCTGCTATAACAAAATAACATAAACTGGTGGCCTAAACAATAAAAATTTCTCAGCATTCTGGAGGCTGGAGGTCCAAGATTAAGGCACCAGCAGATTCAGTGTCTGGTGAGGGCCTGCTTTCTGATTCATAGATGATAACTTCTCACATTCCATGGTAGAAGGGAAGGCAGCTGGCTGGGGGCCTTTTTTTTTTTTTTTTTTTTTTTGACAGAGTCTCATTCTGTCACCTAGGCTGGATTGCAGTGGCATGATCTCGGTCACCGCAGCCTCCGCCTCCCGGGTTCAAGCAATATTCCTGCCTCAGTCTGTTGAGTAGCTGGGATTACAGGTGCCTGCCACCACACTCGGCTAACTTTTTGTACTTTTAGTAGAGACGGAGTTTCACCATGTTGGGCAGGCTGTTCTCAAACTCCTGACCTCAGGTGATCCACCGCCTCCGGCCTCCCAAAGCACTGAGATTACAAGTGTGAGCCACTGTGCCTGGCCTGGGGATCTCTTTTTTAAGTGCATTAATCCCATTCATGAGGGTTCCACCCTCATGGCCTAATCACCTCCCAAAGGCCCTGACTCATCATACCATTATAGGGGGGATTGGGGTTTCAATTTGTGAGTTTCCAGGGAGATAAACATTCGGTCTATAACACCATTCATTCTTCTCCTGTCTTTAGCTGTTAGCTTGGCACCTTCCAGTTTGTGCCTTATCCAGATTCAGCTTTTCCTGCTGTTGTTTTAATTTTTAGATTAAATTTTATTTGTATTTATTATTATTATTACTTTGAGACAGAGTCTCGCTCTGTCGCCCAGGCTGGAGTGCGGTGGCTGGATCTCAGCTCACTGCAAGCTCCACCTCCCAGGTTCACACCATTCTCCTGTCTCAGCCTCCTGAGTAGCTGGGACTACAGGCACCCACCACCACGCCCGGCTAATTTTTTGTATTTTTAGTAGAGACGGGGTTTCACCGTGTTAGCCAGGATGGTCTTGGTCTCATTACCTCTTGATCCGCCTGCCTTGGCCTCCCAAAGTGCTGGGATTACAGACGTGAGCCACCGCGCCCGGCCATATTTATTATTTTTATAGTGGCATTTTCTTCTAATTTACTTACTTCATTTTGATTACATGAATTGATTTTAAAAGAAAACTCTTTATCAACAGCATTATTGGAAAAACCAGTTCTGTTTGACTGGTAGAGACTTACTGCTAGAAATATGTCCATAATCTACAAAAATAAATCAACCTTGCTCATGTTATTAAATTTTAGTGTTATGCTTACTCTTGAGTAAAAATGGGAAATGAGTGAGTATCAGGGAACTATACGGGTTATATTAGCACCCAACTATGATTGTATTTTCTTTGATATGATCAAAAAGATAGAAATAATTCAGAAAAGGCAGTATCTTTTTTATTCTGGGTTTTAGTGAACTAAAAGCATCTACCCAGTACTTAAGATTTCTCCCCCAGGCCCAGTCTGGGCACAGTGACTCACACCTGTGTAATCCCGGCACTGGGAGGCCAAGGTGGGTGAATCTCTTGAGGTCAGGAGTTCGAGACCAGCCTGGCTAACATGGTGAAACCCTGTCTCTACTAAAAATACAAAAATTAGCCAGGCATGGTGGCTCATGCCTATAATCCCAGCTACTCAGAACGCTGAGGCAGGAGAATCACTTGAACCCGGGAGGCTGAGGTTGCAGTGAGCGGTGATCATGCCATTACACTCCAGCCTGGGCAACAGAGCGAGACTCTGTCTCAAAAAAAAAAAAAAAAAAAAAAGTCCTTACCAATTTGATAGACTCCAAATGGTATCTTATTGCTGTTTCTGCCTGTATATTCTTACCCAGGGCAGACTTGAGTGCCAAATTACAGAGAACTTAGAATGTAGAAAGAACGGTGCAGACCTAGGTAACAGAAAAGAGGAAGACGTGGGAAAAGACATCCAGAGAGAAGCATCCAGAGAAAAAAGGAGACCAGCGTCACATCCTTTTTGGCATGCAGATGTTTCCATATTGCTTTAGGTTTTGAGCATTCTCTTGAGAAGCTTTCTCACTTCCCTGCTCTTCAGAACTGACAGAGGTAGACGCCATCTCAAAAAAAATAAATAAATAAAAGATCTCCTCCCAAATAATATTTGAGCCATCCCTGCTCTTGCTATTGTCCCTGCCTCTAATGACACTTGTTATTGTGTGGGAAAGACAGTATTACTTTAAAGTATAACTTTCTCTGAAAACAGAGAGTTACAGCTATGTGGCCAGTCTTCCGTGCTGTCCAGGAGCTCCAGCCTTGATTCTAGAAATGAGTTTGAAAATAACCGCCACTGCATATGTGCTTGCTGGCTTCCTGGCCCTGGATCATCTGCTTTCCCAGTGTGATTTTTCTCCAGGTGTCAAAATAGCCCAGCCAGGTAGGCACTGCAGTAATTATCCCCTCAGTTGTGGAAACTGAGGCACAGAGAAGTTGGGTAACCTGCCTGAGGTCCCACCACTGTTAAGTGGCAGAATGGAGTCCCAATGTGTCTTGAGCTCATATGCATGACATCTTGTGCTCTGCAGTGACTACCTTCAGTATATTCTGTTTCAAACAGTTCAGTGTTACACCCGTCATCAGAAAATGTGTTAGCTGGGAAAGTTCTCTCCTTCCAGTTTCATGTGTAAACAAAAATATATGACATGTTTGAAAGGGGTGGGTGGACATGTAACATGCTGTGTGCTCTGGTGAGAAACACTGTGAAATGAAAAATGAGATTAATGTTTCAGATTGTACAGTTCTCTAATTATGCTTTTAATTATTCATATAAAACAAGTAAAATGACCCCTGACAGAGATATAAATGATTTAGGTAAAATCAAATATTTATAAGATGCTGCTGATTCCCTGGGTGTATTGTAACAGATGGAATCAAAATGTTTTGCCTTCGTCCTTTGGATGCATAATGTTATGTATGGAACTTAACAACTGGCTGAGAAGGATCAACAGTGTTTGAAACACTACTGAGCTAATGCCTAAATGTTTTGATATCAGAACTAAAGGTATGTGGTTGGTATCATATAATATTTTAGAAGATATTTTCTAATATCTGTATATATAGATATATATGATTTTAGATATTGTCTTCTAAGATACTATATTTATGTCACACAATGATGAGTCTCTCATTTTTACAGTTTTAAATAATTATTTGAAAATCAAAAGGTGGTAATATTTCATGACACATTGAAAATTTTGTCAAATTTAAATATTGGTGTGATTAAATAAAGGTTTATTGGAACATAGCCTCACCCATTCATTTAAGTATTATCTTTAGCTGCTTCTGTGCTATAAAGACAAGAGTGAGTAGTTACACTAGAGACCAGTTGGCCTGCAAAGCCTAAAATATTTACCAACTGGCCCTTTACAGGAAAAGTTTATGACCCCTGTTCTAAAACATGCCCAACACAGGGTGAAGGTGGCACAGCGCTGTAGCATGTTTAATTGGCACGAGAAACACTTGCTTTTACTTCATTTTATCCTTTAATTTGCTCTTCTTCTAATTGGGCATTCCTTGTATATTTTTTCAAAAGTTGGAGAAAAACTGCCTTTTGAATACAATAAAAAGGGATTTATATGAGAAAGTTCCTTCACTTGCTTTTAATGCTTCCTTTACATAGAGAAGTACTGAAACTAATTGCAGTATTCTAGAAATGGGTCATTAGCCTAGTCCCTATCTTTTATGGAGACCTAATTTTCATGCAGGATTTCTCACTAAAGCCCTAACTAGGATCGCTTTAGGAAGAGGAGACAATGAGGATAAGCAATTTCCCATGGCTTACACAAGCTTGGCTTTCGATCACAAACCATTCGGTATATTGTTTGGCACCTTACATGTATTTAGCAGCCAATAAGTATTTATTGAATGAATGAATGAATGAATTCACTTCTAGAGAAACAAAAAAAGGGAATATATCACTTGAAAAGAATTTGTTTTTTATTTAGACATTATATTCCTTTTGGAAAAATATTTTTTTGTTAGTGTAAATCCAAGTTATTCTCAATTTCTCCTTCCTGTATTTCAAGAAAGAGCAGTATATTTTTGAAATTTAGAGTTGGAATTTAATTGAGGTTCCCTATGTTGTGGATGCTTCTCATGTATTCTTTGGATGGGTTAAGGGAAATTATTTTTTGCTTGTAACTAAAAGAAAAAGTAAAGAAAACTAGTTATCTGCCAGTATTTGAGTGACTTCAAGAGTAGATTTTGCATTACACTTCCCTGGGTACTGTTATTAAATAACAGACTCCCAGCTCTCTTCCCACTTACTGTTGCCTTAATATTGGAAGCATCCACAAATTTTTGTTTCCTGATATCTTGCCTGCATTTTCTGACCAAAAAAAAAAAATGCCTATTGCATCTGGCTGATTATATATTTCCTATCTGGTTCCAGACCTTGAATCTTGGGGTAGCCCCATGAATCAGTGCTTAAAAAGAAGAATCTTGCTCTCTAGATGATTTTGACCATCAAACAGTTTTAGGAGACACTGATTCAGAGTGACTTATTCTGTCATTGTCTCCATTTTTTTTTAAATCTGTTAAATGGATAAGTAATTCTGAGATCATTCTCTGGAAAGTGTCATGATTTAGGGCCAACTGATGCTCTGAGAGCATTCTGCAGCTAGAATGAACTAATTTATTCAGGCGGGTGTGTTCGTATTTTTTCACAGGTACATGAGGACATAATTCACATCATAGTAGTCATGAACTTTATTAGAAGTAACAGGACAACTCCGTTTGATTTTGAAACTCAATTTGTTTTCCTCTCTTCTCATTCATTTCACACAGTTGCCATCCTTCTGAAAGACGACTATTTTGTCAGTGGAGCTGGTCTGCCTGGCAGATTCAAAGCCGAGAAGGTGGAATTTCACTGGGGCCACAGCAATGGCTCAGCGGGCTCTGAACACAGCATCGATGGCAGGAGGTTTCCTGTTGAGGTGAGAGAAAGTCAAGATCTCAACGTGTAGCTGTGCTTCAGTCTTTATGTTAATCAGATGCTATGTCCTTACCCTCAGTCATTTTGCAAATCACACCTGTACAGTACCTAACTTCATCTCTCTGGAAACCCTTTATCCGTAGTATGGCAGGTGGGTATCCGTCCTTGTTTCTTGCCTTTGTTTAACTGGAGAAACACAGAAGCCACAGGCATCGTGGTTTGAGTAGACTCACTGCTGGTTGATGATGTTCTTCATGTGTTTCATTTGACACAGTTTCTTTTCACTGTCTGTTCCCATTTTTGAAAGATGACATTATGTATGAAACTGGGTTGACTTCATTTTCACTCTTAAGAAAATAGAAAAGTTGGCAACATGTAGAGGAGTCTCAGAACCTTCTCTTGGTAGCAAAGTTGTAAGGTTTTTTTTGTTCCCAGTGGCTGTTGAAAAAGAGGCTGTGGTGGTATGAGTCACTGTTAATTTTGTTAGGATTGATGGTGACATTTTGCTTCTGCTGTGTCGGTCTTCTTAGTGATCCATCCTGCTGGACAGTAGAAGGGTGTGGGTGCACTAGGTCAGATGCTGCTGTGTATCTGCTTAGAGCCAGGGTGAGGGAGGGAGCACGTCTCCAACTCCTTTATTAATGTTGAGTAGGGAGAGCACATGTCTTCCAATGCCAACCTTATATATTTCCTTTAATCATGATTGTTGTGTGACTATTCTTTTGTTGTGATGAACATGTTTGTTTCTTGGTAGGTGCCCCATGTGGTAAGCCTTAGAAGTGTGTGGAAGAACAAAATGAATGTGGTTCTGAAACCTGCCCACTAGTCCCATAGACAGTTGTTTTGGATAAACATAGAAATTGGCCCTTCTGCTGTTAAAGCTTCACACTTGTATTTGTTTTATTTGAGTTCCTTCCTCAGGAAAGGACCTTCAGGCCTCTCAAAAAAGTATCAGAGGACTGAAGCTCACCAGACCATTGCACCAAATGCCTTCTTGCACCTCCTTAGTTCTTGTTTTCTTACACATTGTTACGTTTCCTCCATGCTATTTAAATCTCTAGTTTTAGTCAATCAGGGAGCTGGATTTGAGACTGAGCTCACATCTCCTCTCTCGGCTGCAGCACCCAATTAAAGCCTTCCTTGGCAATGCTTGTCATCTCAGTGATTGGCTTTCTGTGCAGCAAGCAGCCGGACCTAGTCTGAACCCCGGGTGTTTCAGTAACAGTTCTAGCCTATGGCTGTACTCAAACGTGGAGTGACTTTTCACTGGTAACATACGTTAATCAAAGGAGCCACATGGCCAAGGAAGGTTTTCAGCTGTTAGAATTTCATAGCTTCTAAGTCTTGTCCTGCTTTGATAATCTGATGAATTCTTGAGACCCCCTTCACAAAGAAGACACATGTATGTATCTACACATAGATTTACATGTAACTGATAGGATTTCATCATTCTCCCTAGCTCCTCAGGCCAATTTTTGAACCCTGTAAGTATCCGTGAAGCTCTGGTGAAGAACCCCTACACAATAAGAAAATAATACTTATTTTTCTATAGATGCTTATATGGCCATGCAGATTTGTTTCTTATCCACTGTTCCTAGAGAAACCAGAGATAACTACTCTGAGAAAATGCTTCATGTTTTTTCTTGTTTAGCTCAGAAATTGTCAGTATCAGAATTCTTCCTGCATTAGGACTCCTCTATCTGTGGAACTTCCTATCCTAGTCACAATAATGATATCTTTCATGAGTTGGGTTTCTACTTAATGGATTCTCTTCCACCCTTAAAATGGAATGAATCATTTCTTAGAAGTCTTAGCTTTATTTGTACTTGGAAAACTTGATTCCTAGAAGCAAAATTACATCATGTTCTTAAGTGTAGGATTTTCCTTCTGGTCTTGCTGACAGGTTCCCATTGGCAATATGAGTTGAAGGGGTAGCTTTGTGTCCAGCCAGCTTTGCTCTGAAGCCTCTTTGTCTTAGAATTGGGTTGCCATTTGTTCATTTTGTGTTGTTTTGGACAAAAGACCTGTCCTGAAAGCTTAAAAACTCAATCAGATGGCTACCTTGGAAAAGAAGACCTCTAGAGCTGGGAACTGGGAACCTTGCCTCTGTGTAATTACATTTCCTCATGCCCAAAATGACCAGTTTCCTCTTTACATTTGACTCTGGGAATAATGTATCAAAGACATTAATACCGTTTTTTTTTCCTTTCTTTTTTTTTTTTTCTTTTCTTTTTTTTTTTTTTTTTGAAATGGAGTCTCACTGTTGCCCAGGCACATGATCTCAGCTCACTGCAATCTCTGCCTTCTGGGTTCAAGCAATTCTCCTGCCCCAGCCTCCCAAGTGGCTGGGATTACAGGTGTGTGCCACCACGCCTGGGTAATTTTTGTATTTTTAGTAGAGACGAGGTTTCACCACGTTAGCCAGGCTGGTCTTGAATTCCTGACCTCAAATGATCCACCTTTCTCGGCCTCCCAAATTGTTGGGAGTACAGGCGTGAGCCACGGCGCCCGGCCAGAGATTAATATTCTTTTGAAACACATGACTTTTGGTGAATATTTCAGTTTTACATTTCTCAGAGGGAGCCGTTGAATTCAGAAGCTAATTAGAAATGGCAGCCACCATGCCCAGGCTTATTGTTTAACCAGGTTGTTTGGATATTTTTCTTTTAAATAATGTCAGATGATATGGCTGCCTATATCAATTGGGTTCCTCATTGAAGTCCATCTGATTCATAGCTTGTTTTCTAAAAATGTGATAAACATATTAACGGTGTATTTGGAGGAACTTGAATTTCAGAGATTAAGTAACTGCATTAAATTTACCTTTAAAATATGCACAAGAAAGTTGCTTGCTTTTGCCCAAAGTGTGTCTGTGATATTTCATGTTAAGTTGCTTTATTCAAGTTCTTCATTAATACCCATCTCTCTTTACAGTTTTTATACTATTTGAGCATCTTACACTTGGTTTGTTTCTTTTCACATAACTACAATTGTTTTCCAAAAAACTAGAATTAAAGTAAGAAAATTTAATTTATCATGGAGTAATTTATCAGCATTGGGGACATTAATTATTTGTTTTGCATGCAGTATGTATGAGGGCTACAGAAGAATCATTGTTGAAGATTGTGCTAGGATTGGTAGAATATAGCTGTGGTTCTCAGCTGGGGACAGCGTCTCCCCCCTGCACCCTGGGGCATTGGGTCATGTCTGGAGACATTTCTGGTTATTGCCATTGTTGGAAGTGTTATGGTATTACTTTCTAGCTGGTAGAGGCCAGGGATACTGCTATACATCCCAGTGTAAAGGACAGCCCCCACTAAAAGGAATCATCCAACCCCAAAATGTCACTAGTGTCACTGTGGTGAGATTCTGGAGTGGAGAAAGCAGTGTGTTTAGTAGAATTAAGCATTTCTTTATCTAAGTAGTGTCATTTAAAATACATTTGAATAAAGAGGACTTGTTTCTTGGGAAGTCATTCCATCCTCTTTGGGTTTTAGAGAGTAAATGTACCTTGCCTTATGTGTAACAGCATTGCTGTTCCTGGTTTCTTTAGTATCTGCTTGAGATGCAGTCACGACCTTGGGAATTTTAACAGCTCCCTCTGTGCTGCGGCTCTGCAGGCTGAATTTTAAACATATGCCCCACAAGAAGCTGGATCTGCTCCCTGAGGGTAAATTGCAGCAAACTCAACTTTGTAGGTTTTGTTGCTTCCCAAGAATTCTTTGAGGTCATCTGAGACAACTTTGTAGGCATCCAGAAATTAAAGCTCTCTGAATTTTTCTGGCTGGAATCCTGGACTCAGTCTTGTAGTTCCTGCACTTAAAAACATCCAGTCTAATAGTTAACAAAGAAAGCCCTTGTACAAACAAAACAACAAAACAAGATGAAAGCTCTTCAGTAACCAGTGTTCTTTACAGCTCAGTTAAAGTTAGAAAAGAAAGTTGAAGTCACATTACAATGCCATGCCTTGGAGACTGAACCCAATTTGGATCCTCAGATGCCCTCGCCTCCTATTACTGAGCATTATTCCTTGCCTAGCAGCACATTTTTCTTGAGTATCTTCTGTTGTACGTGGGCTGGTACACAAAGTTAAGTCAGAAAGTCACAGTTCCTGCCTTCAAGGTATTTACACTCCAGTGGTGACACAGAAATTAAACATTGGTCATGTAACTATCTATGTAGTTTCGTTTGTGTTATAGTCTCTGAAGTAGAGGGGTATTTTGATAGGGAGTGGAAGCTTTCAATGGAGACATCGATACTTATTAGAGGGAAAAGATGAATTGGAGCTTCCTAGTAGAATAAGGCTATGCAAAAGCCGTGGGGCAGGTGGTATTTGTTAAGTTTAAGGAATAAAGAGGCCAGTAGAGATTTTGGTAGGCAAGATAATGTCCCTTCTTTCAAATGTCTGCTGCAAATATGTTACTTTATGTGGCACAACAGACTTTGCAGATGTGATTAAGTGTCCTTAAAGTAAAAAAACTCAGAATATTCCAGTCATTAAAACAGGATGACCTGTTCCATTTCTTCTGTGGCTAGTCAGCTTTCTGTTGTCAGTGCAGCCAGTTATCTGTAACAGCTTCTATCGTCTCCTAAACTTTTTTTCCTATTCCACACTCATTCCTGTTCTGTGGTTGGTAACTTAAATAAAGGTTCATATAACACTAATAGAAATTTAATCATGCTGTATTTCCACTAATAACCAAAGTTGCAGTTAATACAAAGAGAAACCTCCAGATAAAACGTTCGAGAACTCCATTAAAGTGGGGAGTTCATTGCATGCTTGTTGTGTGAGGTAATTAAAATCTTATTTATGACAATAAAAGATCACGGGAGTTGTTGATTCAGACTTAAACTGGTGCTTTATGAGTTGAAGTCTTCAATAAGCTTAAATGATCCAAATTGATTGTATGTGCCGCTTCTGGTAAAAGTCACAGCTGGTTCATTTCAGCTCTGTTCAGAGCATTTTAGTGAATGAATAGAAGCAAAGGCATTTTTCCTAAT